CGTGCTGCACGCTCCACAGAGCACGTTTTGCCAGCTGCAGAGGAAATCCAGAGCCCTTTAATAAACCCAATGTCAAATACATGTTGCTTCACATAAAAGACAGAAATCAACCCCAAGAAATGCCCTGAATCTGGCACCTTTCATGAATGCTGGGTGAGAAAACAAAGCCAGCTGTCCAAAGGAGAGAAAGAGCCAGGCTCGAGCCAGCGAGCCCCCGCCCCGTCTACCCGTAGTGGCAAAAATAGCAGTTTTATGACTATAATAAGACTCAGCGAATTCCGTGTCTATTCGGGGACTACCCGGGGAGCTGGCAGCAGGAGCAGCTCATGCCTCAGCCAGGAGGGCTGCCGGCTCCCCTGCATGCCACCGGATTGCTCACGGGGCAAGGAGGACCACAGAGGCCAAAGAGCAACCCTGAGAACTGTGACCCCCTGGCCTCTCCTTCCTCCTTTCCCCCTCCACCGAGGCCTCTGGTTACTGGGACCTTCTTTCACAGCACTGAGGGTTCATTGTGAGAGACCAGACGGTGGCTTCTGTGCGTGCCCCTCTCGTAGGGTGGAGGGGGGTGGCACAAGACCCTTCCTCAGGGCGCTGCACGTGGTCGGGGAGGGGCTGCTGTTCAACTTCTTGGTTCAAAACAGATCCAAAGGAAACGTCTGGGACAGATCTCCCCCCCTCTCTTCTGCTTTCTAGGCTGTGCAGCTGCAGATAGCTGGTGAAAATGGGGCTCTCCTGTGAGCTCGTAGCTGTCCTGCCTCCTCTTCAGCCCACAGAAGTACAAAGCAGAGAAAGCCAGGCTCTGGCCCAGGAGATCTCTGCAGCTACAACATCCCATTTTGTCAGTGTGGGGATGGTGCTAGTCCCTCAGACCTGCTGCAGCAGAACCTCCCTGTGGCCATAGATGTCCATCTGACCCCCCCTGCCCTCTAACCTGCTCGGTCTCAGCTGGGAGAGGCTCTAACACTAGCTGGGCTCTGCCCTGCTACACTTGCCCCAGCAAGGGCAGATCTTTGTGGACCTCCTCTGCTGTGTGCCCCAGAAATGGGGAAGCAGCCAGGCTGCTGTGTCCCTGGCAGAGCTGGCCCAGAGAGGAGGAGAAGGTGGGTTGCAGCCTCAGCTCAGAGGTTTCAGAAGAATGGAGCAAGCTGCTGTTAGCCCTGGGCTGAAGCTCTTTAGCACAGAGAGGCTCCCAAAGGGCTGCCAGGGTTGGCTGTTCCCCGAGGCTGCTGCCAGAGCACGCTGAGGATGGGGAAGCCCATCCAACCCCAACTCCCTTCTCCTCCTGGAAGATATTGCCCCTTTGCCTTCACAGCCTGGGCAGACACGCCGTGTTCCTCAGAGCCCTGAGCAGGCTGCTCACAGAGCAAGGGCTGCCAAAAAAACGTGGCCAGGCCATTCCCCTGAGTCATGCTTGCTGCCTGCCCAAGCGTGCCCTCAGTGTGGCTCCTGTCCTTCTTTCCTTCCTCTTTCCCCTCACAACGGGGGTTTTTTTCCTAGCCTTTAGTAGCAAAAACCCTCCATCCAGCTGCCAGAGCTCAGCTTCTCCTTCTGGCCAAGACAAGGACAGCTTTTTCTCCCACTGCTTCGCAGCGAGCTGGCGAAACGCCTGTCAAAGAGGCACTGGCTTTGCAAGCCCGTGCCTGTTGTGGCATAATAAGGTCATTGTCAAGAAGATGCTGCACCAGGAGGCTGATCTTGAGCAAAACATGGCCCCAGTTGGGAGTTGTGCAACCCCTGTGGCTGCTCAGACACTGGCCTCATTGTTTCCCATTGTGAGTCTTCGGCGTCTCATTGTCCATTGAAAAGCCAGTTCCTACTGAGCTGGTGCAGCCACCAATCAAAGGGGCATCCAAAGGCCTCCCTTGGCTAAATTAGCTGCCACCCAAATGGCAGGAAACCCCCGTTCCTTTCTCACTTCACTCAGCTGAACGTGAGCTCTTGCTTCGAGGAAATTCTCCACCTCCCACCTTCTTCTCCTGCAGAAAGGTGAAGCTGCAGAGATCAGAAAGGCCTCATCAGAAAGACCTGCTGAGAGGAGCAACGTAGATGCTGGTACATCTCCAACCACATCCTGCTGGCATTCTTGTGACTGCCATTCCAGGGCTCCTGAGTTTACAGGGGAAGCTGCTGCCACCAGGGAGAAGCAGGCCACAGAAGCATCACTTGAGGCTTGTGGACATGGTGTGATGTCAGCAGGACACAAAACCTCTCTTGAAACTGCTGCCTATGGAGAGGTGATAAAAGCACGACCACCAAAGGAGGAAAAACTAGTGGATACTTGAGTAGGTGCAATCAGATGGGCACAGAGGGGAAGTAAAGGCACACAGGAGTCTTCCTCCTGCAGACATTGGGTGGGTAGGATTGAGGTTGACATTCCTGAAAAAGCTCCTTTTAGAAGACACACCAGGCACTCTGGTTCTCATGGAAACAGGATGGAGGCACCACTTGGACTCCACACCCCATCTGCCCAGGAGATGGACATAGACCAGGGTGAGGCACACGCTCCAGAAAGCATTTAAAAAAAAAAAGCAACAGGCCCCTTAAAAACATCTTGAATAGTTTCCAAACTTTATTTCATGGTGATTGACGAAAGACACAAGTTAGTAATGGTTATATCATGCTGCTCCTCTACTGTGCATTGCCCTTCAGAATTCATACAGCAGTTCACAATGGTCATTAATTTACCCTATAAATGAAGCCACATAGACATCTTTTTTTTTTAAAAAAAAAAAAAAAAGAAAAATAACAAACCTCAATGTCTTTTTTTTTTTCCTTTTTGTTTTTTTTTTGTACATACATGTTATAAATGTTATTAAAAATAAAGCCAAAGTTAAGTGCACAGCCCCTTGGGAGCACTGCTGAATCTGACCTTGGTTCAAGATGCTCGACGACGAGGACTCAAGGTCCTGTTTTAAGGCATTTCCAAGCCCCAGCAAAAGCAGACAGAGTTTTTGTTTAAGTTGATTTTATTGGGTTTTTTTTTTGCAGTGACCCTGGCTTCCTATCAGTGGCATTCTAGAAACGTAGCAGCTTCCTCTGTGCACACCCCTCTCCCTCTGGAGTTGGCTCCTCCAGCTCTTGGTCTCGGCCAACGCAGTCGCATCGCCCACGTTCCCAAAACTCAGGTCGAGGGTCTTGCACTTCCCTCCCCTCCCACCCCAGCCTGCAGTCCTAGTCAGCCCCCAGCTACACCTCGTCACCAAACTACAGCACCCCATCCCTCTCCCAACACAGCCACAGTACTCCCCACCAGGACCCACAATTTATATATACACTAGCCACTTAAAATGTGGTATCGCCACACGCACAAGCCACCCACAGCCACACACATCAGAGGCTCCATTCCACAGAGGGCACAGCCCCCCGTGAAATATTTCACCACTGGGTTTGCAGAGGAATGTCAATAGATGAGGCGTAGATTTGGGGAGGGGTGGATTTAATTTAAGAAAAGAAAGAAAAAAGAAACCCAAGTGGTTTTATGCTAAGTTCTTCCCCTTTGTTACGTCTGTGTTCAGAGCTCACCCTGAGAAAAGGCATTTGGCTTCTCCTGGCTCAAAATTTAGTGCCAAGAACCAACATTTTTAAAGGGTGTACTACTTTGTGAGGGTACACCACGAGGCGTGCTAGAAATTTAGGGTAAAACTGCAAACTGATGGCACCCAAGATACTAATTAACGCATGGTACTCGGCGGGATCCTTCAGCTGAATCCTGTAGGCTCCATCAAGCTGGTTCTACACAGAGCCATGCCAGCTGCCATCTCAGGGTGGGAAAGGGACACACAGTTGTGTCCCAGCGGTGGAAAGGGACGTAGATGCTACACAGCATCAGTAAATTCTTCCCATGGAGAAGGAACCTGAACGGTCATTTCTTTCACAGCCGCAATGCGATCGTCGTTCTCCTGCTTCCAGGAGATTTGGGGTTTGCACACAGACGTGGGTTGGTTGACAGACACTCACAGACACACCAACATTCATCCAGACACACACACACACATACTGGCTTTGTAACTGGCACCACAGTATTTGCTTTCAAGATTTGCAAGGAGGAAGAAAATACTTAAAAACCCTCCTCCCCAGACCCTACTGCCTGGGCAGTGGACTCACGTCCTGTTCCCATTGGAGCTGCTGCTGCTGGGCTGGCAGCATCCAGAGGAGCTTTGAGCATGGCGTGGAAGACCCTGCATTGCAAAAACTCAAAGGTAAACCTCTGATTTCTCTTCATGGGAGAGGCTCCAACAACAAGCTCTAGAGAGATTCACACGCTGGCCAGCTGTCTCCTTATGGCAGACAGAGGACAAGTCATGCCTGGAGGCTGGAAAACAGAGATGGGTCACAGAAGGACACATCCAACAGACTTTTTTTTTTTTTAAAGTGAAAAGGGACCCAGTCCCCGTGCCCTCACAGCCCATTTGACAGGGCTGGAAGAGGGAGAGCACTTCCAGCTCTTGAAGACGTGCTGCAGGTTCTCACTGGTGCACGGGAGGGCAAGGCTTGGTGCACAGAAGCTCTTGGGAAGAGCAGCCAGGGCAAGCAGGTGGTTAGGACATGGCTGGATAAACACAAAGCGTGGAAATGAGGTTTCACAGCTGCTTCTGCACATGTCCAAGAGGAGGAGGAGGAGGAGGAGAGTCAACAGAGAAATCAACGTTTCCCCCACAGCACCTCTCAGTCCAGCAAAGAGTCATAAGACAACCAAAGAGCAATGCTTTTCTGCCTGCTCAGAGCAGACCTTGGTCTCTCTTCCAGTGCATGGCATCCCTGATTTTAACAGAGCATAAAGGAGAAAAGCACTTGAGATTCTTACACACATAAATTACAGTGAGAGGAAGCGGGAGGGGGGGAGGGGAGGAGAGTGCTAGGGTGAACACAGGGCCAGGAGAAGGCTTGCCAGAGCCAAGCCCCAAAAAGCAGGGTGGCAATCCCCACTTCCCTGCTCTGCCAGTGCTGCAGAGGAGCCAGGCCTGTGATGGCAAGGCAGGGGATCCACGAAGGCCACACGTCTGGCCAGCACCAGCATCCTTTCGACAACCCAAGAACCCAAGTAAGGAGAGGGGGAAAACAAAAAATATAACCCAAAAAGAAGCTTCAAGTATGAATCAGATTTACAACGCAGGTGCAACGGGGAAGTTCTTCTGTCACTTCTCGGAGACTTGGTTCAAGGTTTGTTCTTTGTTGCTGCTGAGTCTGACTGACCTGGATAGACTGCAACCGAACAAATAACCCAACAGAAAAAGGTGTTTCCTCCCCTCCCTTTCCCCCCTCCCCCCCCCCAAAAATATAAAAAGCAATAAGTTTACAAAAATAGAAAATAATTACAGCAATAGGCAGGAGGGAGGGAAGGAGAAGAAGGGTCCCTGGGGGTCTATTTGGCTGAGCAGTGTAATATCGTGGGGTTGTTTAAAGCGTCCTCCACCAGATGCAGTTCTTGGCGGTCGACAACCACGTCCCTTATGCAGCCAATAAAGCCTGTGCTGTAGGCCTTGGGCAGCTTGTGAGCCACGCTCAGCTTCTCCAGTCCCCCTGCAAGAGAGAGCACAGAAGGTTGGGTGGGAGGAGAAAGGGCCCCGTGGGTCAGCAGCCTGCTCCAGGTAGCATCACACGTGGTGGAGGCACTGCTGGGAACCTCTCCTCAGCTCCAGGGAACAACCTCTTTCCTGGCCAGTATTTATTTCTGCTTTCCTCAGAAAAAATGCCTGTTCCAACCTATGCAAACAGGTTTCCTGAAGACACTTAAACTGGTATCTTCCATTCTAAAATACCAGTTCAATTTAAAATAATTCATTTCTTTGGTGATTGGTCCCGAATTCAAATGGAAATTTATTTCGGTTTTTGAAACGTCAACTATGGCTCATTCCAGGACCTGAAATTACAAAAGGCTGATTGCAAACAAAACCTTTGGGAGAGCCAGCTGGGAAGCCAAACAAAAGCTTCTCCTGGAAAAATTCTGCTTTCCACATAACTTCTGGGTTGATTTCAGAAGGAGAAGGGGCCTCTAGGACACTGTCTTTGCAGAGGGAAGGCTCCGTTTTCGAATGTGAATTCTTATAAGTCAGGTTAGACCTGAAACTACAGCCTTAGACTAGGAAGATAAGAACAAATGCTTCTGAAAAGCACCTCCCTGAGGAGAAACCCAGTCCTAAGCTGGGTGATGGAGAGCTGAACCATGGGAGTTCCTCAGGGGACAAAGAAAGCCCAGGACCTACAGCATCCCCTGTTGCTGGGCATCCTTCCTCCAGCCCTTCAGGCTCCAAAAAGGATTTCACTATCCTCTTAGCTCAGAGTAGTACTGGTGGTATTGAAGCACAACTGTCCTATGTTTCTGGGTGGATTTCTTGCTGATTTGAGCTGCTCCAGGACACACGTGGCCTCTGCCTGTGCTGACAGAGCTGCCACAGGCAGTGTGAGATAGATCCAATGGGCCCAGCTCTGTTTGCAGGATCAAAATGTCAACCCAAAAAGAGGTGACTGTACTGCACACATGGGCACATTTGGGCCCATCAGCTTCTTCTGCTGTGCAAATAAAGCACATATGCCCAGACTGAAGTGTCCTTCTCTCAATTCAGCCACTTCATCTTTGGGAACCAGGGTTACCCAGGCAAGTAACTTTTGGGAGGCTCATCAACTGCCAGAGGCTCTTTTACAGGAGGGAGTTTGTCAAGTGGGAGCACTCCCAGTTTGAAGAGGGGGAGGATGGTCCATGCCATCAGTGTAGGGCTCCAGAGCTGTAGCTAACAGCTCTCTTCAGGGGATGGGGCAAGGAGTGGCACTTGGTAAAGCCCAGCTCATCCCTCAGCTGCCCCCAGCATCCTGCCCTGATAGGTAGGGACTTTCTAGGACCAACTTGTCAAAGCCTCCAGGGAGGCAAAAGCATCCCACCGAAACAAGTGAGGGGGCATCAAGATGGTGGCCCCAGCTCTGAGCCCCTCAGCAAGGGGGGTGGGGGGGTTTAACCCTTTCCACACCAACTCACCCAGCCACAGGGCCCCATCTGTGTCCAGCTGTGTGGCACCCAGTGGAGAAGAGCCAGCGATGGGCGCTTCGTTGCCAACTTGAAGGGAACCTTCTCTCTGTACCCTGCTCCCAGAGGGAGGGAAGAAGAAACAGGTGATGATTAGCAACCTTGGAGGAAAAAACCCAGAGCTACCCAAAGCTTTACACGAATTTGGGCACTGTCAGCCCTTCTCCACCTGGAGAGGAGCGGGGAGCAGAGCTTTAGGCTGTGGAGCACAGCAGCACGTGGCTGGCAGCGAGCTCTGCCCTCCAGCATCCCCTGGGCATCCCGTGGCCACAGCTTCCTCCTCCTCCTGTGCCCTCCAAACCCCCCAGCAGGCATCCCTGGCACGCCGGCCGCGTGACCTCCTCACCACTCCCACCACCAATAAAAATAAAAGGGATGGGTCGGGCTCCAGCCAGCAGAATGTCAACCCTCAGCCAGCTAAAAGAAAAGGCATGGACCTCTCCTACCTCCTCCAGCCTGCCCCTTTGACATTTCCAGGCGTGTCCCAGCATGCACCCCCCCTGCATGGCACTGCCCACATGCCTCTCTATGATTATCCAAGGAGAGGAGTGACCCTTGGGGATCACAGGGCACGGAGCCACGGCCGTGACTTGGGCACCTTGGACCACAGCTGGGGCAACCCACCACGGTCCTGCTCTGCCCTCCCGCTGGTCCCCTCACCTGTAGGCTTTGATGTGGATCCACTGGTTGGTGTTGACGGGGACCGTGGACCGTAGGACGACGGGTTTGGAGCCCAGGTCATAGGTCATCTGTACAAAGCCATCCACCACGGCGAGGGCGATGTAGTCCGACCGCTCCAGCCCCTTCCCGCTCCACAGGATCAGCCCCTGCGTGGCTTCTGTTTTGATGCTCAGCTCAAAGTGGTTTGATTGCAAGGCCTTCTCGCTGCACGGGGAAGAGGCAGAGCAGAGGTAAAAACACGGCTACCAAAGCAACAGGCAGCCAGCCAGCTCCTCAGAGCAGCCTCCTCTCTTCCCAGCCAACTAGCTCACCTGCCGAGGATACCACTCAACCGACCCTTGGCGTCAGGCTACACGTGGGGTCTTGGCCCCTACCTCCTGTACTTGAGGGGTCACAGCCTTGGCAATACCCCAGGCCTGCTCAGGAGGCCTGTGGTGCATGGGCTGAGCAGATGGAAAGCTCTGAACTGGGCCACAGGGTCAAAGCGACAGCCCTCTGGAGGTCTCTAACCCAGCTCCACTCAGAGCAGGACTATTGCCAGTGCTAGATGAGGGCAGCACTGAGTGGCTCTGCCCTGCTCAGCCTGGCAACATCAGCACTGGAACCACCTTCCTGCTGGCCTGGGCAAGGGCTGCACAGTTTACCTGGGGATGTTTCCCCCAGTGTTCAGCTTGAACCTCCAAAGACACAACCTGGGGCTCGTGCCCCTTGTTGGTGCCCTCTGTGGAGCACGAGGTTCAGACATGTCAACCCCTGCAAGGTGTGACACACAAGTCTTGGCTTTGTCTCCTCATATGCAGGTGCTGTAGGAAGAGGTCTGCTCCATGGGCTGGTGGAACAGGCCCAGTCTGGCTGGCTGGAGACTGTCCACAGAGGCAACAGAACCTTCCTCTTCCTAGGCACCGTGTCTTTTCCCAAGGGAGGAATGAAGGAAGGACAAGATTGCCCCACATGAGCATCTCCATCTTTGCTCAGTCTCTTTTGGAACAGGCAAAAGGGTCTTGGCAACAGGTCACGTTGCCACGTGGAGTCATCCCCTGCTCTCCTGGGATGCTGAGACACTGCTGACACGTGCACACACAGACCAGACACCACAGACAGCTTTTCATTCCCAAGGGACACTGTCCAGAGGGCTGGAGGAGGGCTGTGCTCCCAGAGTAGCTCAGCCTCTGCTCTCCCCCAGAGCTATGTGCTGCTGGGGTCCCCCAGGAGCGAGGGCCAGAGCTGCAGAGGAGCTGCTCTGCCCGTGCTGGGAGGACAGAGTTCCCTCTCACCACCCCCAGAGCTGTATCCCTTGTCAATAAAAAGCCACAGGTAGGGACCCCTGGGACACACACAGACAGAGACATGCTGAGGCAGCCACAGCAGAGCACGAGACAAGAGCTGCAAGCCTGGCACGGACTCACCTGGGCTCCACAGGGTGGTCCAGAGCTTCAGGACTTAGGTGCAGGAAGAGAGGGGAGGGTGCAATAAGCAGCGGGCAGCAGAGGAGATGAGACCCTTCCCTGCCCTCCCCCCGGCTCAGCAGCCTCAGCTCCTCACCCTGCACAACACCCGAGCTGAGGAGCCTGCCCAGCATGAGCAGGAAAAGCTTCAGCCACCATCTCAGGGTTGAGTTTCCTCAAGCCAACGAGGTGAGCTTGCAAAGTTGTTGCTCAGCCACAGTGAGTCAAGGAGTCAATGCAGCCCTGAGCTCCTGGTGCAGGGTCTCTGCAGTGCCCAGGAGTCAGTGCAGCCCTGAGCTTGTGGGGCAGGGTCTCTGCAGTGCCCAGGAGCCAATGCAGCCCTGAGCTCCTGGTGCAGGGTCTCTGCAATGCCAAGGAGTCAATGCAGCCCTGAGCTAACGGTGCAGGGTCTCTGCAATGCCCAGGAGCCAATGCAGCCCTGGGCTAGTGGTGGAGGGTCTCTGCAATGCTCTCCTGGGTCACAGCTACCTGCATGCCATGCTGCTCTGCTGGGATGTGTCCCAGGATGGGACAGTGGGCAGCACTGCTGAAAGAAAGGAGTTTTTCACCCATGGCCTTGCACGAGCACCCTGAGCAACCCTGCAGCAGGTCTCGGGCTGGTTCTTTGGGGGGCTGCAGAGTGGGCTCCCATCTGGGCAGGGAGCTGAATCGACATTTAAGGCCTCTGAGTCAGCCCTGGGGCATTGGGTGGTGGGGTGTGGATGGAGAAGGGGAAACCCAAGGCTACAGCTGTCCTGCTGGCACTGCCTGCAAGCCTCTGGGGCTCCTGAGGAGATGTGTGTACAGAAATGTACAAAGAAAGATGTGTGGGCATGTCGTGGCCAGCAGAGCCCAGAGAAGCACTTGGAGTGTTCATCCTGCCCAAGGCACACCCTGGCATCTGCCTGGAGGCAGAAGAATCTACTTTTATGGGCAGCCCGATGGGTCCTTCAGCCCTGGCAAGGGCCAGTGGGTGCTGCTGCCAAATCCCAGCAGAGGGATCTGGGGAGCAGAGCTAAGAGCTTGCAGGATGGGGCACGCCCAGCCAAAATAGGCTGGCTCAAGCAGGGAGGAGGCTGGGAATGGTGAACTTCCCTTGGCAGAGCACTGGGAAAGGCAGGACACAGAGGTGGCAGCTGGAGGGACGTGGCTCATGTGTGTGCAGAGGGAGAGCTGGATGTGGCAGAGGCAGCTACACGCCTCTCATTGCTGTAGGGCACTGTCTGGCTTGGGAGGATGCTTGGCTCCTAGAAAGCTCTCTCCAAGACACCAGAGCAACGCCCAAACTTGTGAACCAGCAGCTGATGTGCTCTGTGTCTCCCAGGTGTTGGCATGCACGCATGCAACTCAGCCTCCCCAGCCTCTGCCAGAGCCCAGCCTGCAGAAAATGAGGTGAAATGGGGATGGGACAAGGCAGGTAACCCTCAAACTCTCCTCCACGCAGTGGGGAACACCACTGCATGAAGCAGGGGCTCTCCTCTACTCCTGCTGCTCACCAAGACAGACAGGCAGCAGATGGACAGGGTTTTTTTAGGGGAAAAATCTGGGGTTTTTAACTCCCTTCCTCATCTGCTAAAGCTGCCTCATGTGCTGCTGGGACCCTGAGTGCAGCAGAGCCTGGCAGCACAGCTCCTGCTGCACCTCAGCTGCATTTTGGGCCCCTCTGCAGCTGCCAGAGCTGCACTCACAGGATCAGAGAATTGTTTTGGTTGGAAGAGACTTTTAAGATGACCACATCCAAGTGTTGACCCAGCCCTGCCAGGTCCCCACTGCCCTGTGTCCCTCAGCAGCACATTTACATGGCTTGGAAACCCCTCCAGGGATGGGGACTCCAGCACTGCCCTGGGCAGCCTGGAGAAACCTCAAGGGGAAGAAATTCTTCCTCATGTCCAACCCTGGCACAACTTGAGGCTGCTTCCTCTTGTCCTATTGCTTGTTCCTTGGGAGCAGAGCACAACTCCCATCTGGCTCCAAGCTCCTGTCAGGGAGCTGTGGAAAACCAGGTCTCCTCTGAGCCTCCTTTGCTCCAGTCCCCTCAGCTGCTCCTCCTAAGTCAGTACCTGTGTCCCCCTCCCCCTGAAATGGGAACTCCAGCCCATGGCACAGCCCTGGGACAGTGCCCAATGTTCCTCCCACCCTGCTCTCCTCTCTGGTGGCTGGGGTGGCAGTGGGACCATGGTGGAGGGCAGATGGCTGTGGGGAGGAGCTGGGTGGTGGGGAGGGCTGTACTTACGCTGGGATCTCATTGGTCAGGTGGCTTGAAAACAAAGAAACAAGGACATTGAGAAGAGACAGACAGACAGACTGACTGACAAACAACAGCTCGAGACAGATGCCCTCCCCAGACAGGGTAACAGGGAGTCTGAGGGTGTAAGAGGCAGATGGATGGAGCCCAGTGCAACACCCTGTCCTAGTGCTGTGGAGCTGGGATGAACCTCAGCAGTGCTGAGGAAGGGTTCTGAGCCAGACCATCATCACAGCAGATGAAGAGTCTCCTGCAGGAGAAACATCCAGCCCAGAGGAGCTCAGCCAGCAGCTGTGTAGTGGGCTCTGCTTGTCTCAAGAGAGAAGCCCCAGGGAGCAAGACAGCCACAGAGAGCACAGAACCACCCCTAGCCCATGGGGTGAGGGTCCAGGAGATGCTGGAGAAACCAGAACCAACCCTTGCTGCACAAACAGCCTGGGAGACAAAGGAGCTGGGAGAGAGACATGAATTAAACCACAGGCACAGCTCACCCAGCCCATCCCTGAGCACGTGGGCAAAGAAAGGCACCAACCAGGAGCAGGGCAGCGGCCACAAGACCCATCTTGGTTGGGTTCACTCTCAGCCAGCTTCAGCCCACCCCCAAACCAGGCTGTGCTAAGCCAGGAGGTGTTCCCAACTCTGCAGAATGAGAGCACCCAGACCTGAAGTTGGCCAGGCAACGTCCTCGTGGGGAAAGCCAACAAGGCAGCTTCAGAGGTGTGGGCTGGAAGCAACTGCTCATGGCTCCAGCTGGTTTTGCCCCTCTTTGAGCACTCTGTTGGGCTTTGTCCCTAGCTCTTCCTCCTGCTACCAGCCCTGACTCCTGGTGTTGACCTTGGTTCAGCTCAGCAGCCTGGTTACCTCTTTGTCACGGCGTTGTGGTACTCCATGTATGTCCTACCATCAAAAGCAATGGCCTCTGCATCTCCAGCAGCCTTCTCAATGATCACTGGAGGTGGGAAGAAAGAAGAGCTGTCAGCAATGTAGCATGGTCTGTCTGTTTGGGGACTAGGGAACCCCCCCTTTGCCCTGAGCACTCCTAAGAGGATGAAGGCATGGACAAACCTGCCACCCCTTGGGGCATGGCAGTGCTAGGGCACTCTAAGCAAGCTCCTGGAAAGGTTTGCTGGGGTTTTACAGCCTGGAAGTTTGGATCATCTCCCTGTTTTGCAGCTAACCACCAGGAAATCTGCAGCCTCGTTGGTTTGCTGGCTGAGGTTGAGGAGGAACCTGAGCTCCAGTGCTAAAATCAGGGAGGCAGTAGGAAGGAAACCCTGATCTGGAGACAGCAACAGCTCAGGCCCTCCAGGGGAAGCTGCCACAGCACCAACCACGTTTCCCTGCCTCAGGCAAGCACACAAGAGACAGGATCAGAGTGCACTGAGGGGAGGAGGTGACTGGGTGACCACCCGTGGGCATCAGCCCTGCAGCACAATGCCTGCACCCCAGAGAGACAGCACAGCCCTGAAAACTCCACATCTGGAGCCCTCCAGGCAGCCAGGAGCAGGGCCAGACCCCGGGCTGGCTGCCACCAGCTCACCCCCGGGCAGAGTGGCCTGGGGGGGCCTCACCTTTCTCACAGTGGGCCCCAGAGAAGCCCCTCTGGCAGGCACACTCGTAGCTCTGCAGGCGGGGGCTGCAGGTGCCCCCGTTCTGGCAGGGGTTGGGTTTCTGGGTGCAGGGGTGGCCTCGGAAGGGGGAGATCTCCACGGCACGGCGGATGTTCTGCTCCTTCAGCACGGGCACCCCCTTGACAGAGATCTAGCAGATACAAGCAAGAGGTGGCACAGGATGGTTTTTGGTTGGAAGAGAGCTTGAGGATCATCAAGACAGGACAAGGGGTAAGGGATTTAAGCTAGAAAAGGGGAGATTTAGGAAAAAGTTCTTTAATGTGAGGGTGATTGATCATTGGAATAGGTTGCCCAGAGAGGTGGTGGAGGCCCCATCCCTGGAGACATTCAAGATCAGGCTGGATGAGGCCCTGAGCAGGTTGACCTAGTTGCAGATGTCCCTGCTTATAGCAGAGGGGTTGGACTAGATGACCTTTGGAGGTCCCTTCCAACCCAAACTTTCTGTGATTCTAGAAGTCCAACCATTCCTCCAGCACCACCAGGTCCCCACTGACCCGTGTCCCTCAGCACCACATCTCCACGGCTTGGAAACCCCTCCAGGGATGGAGACTCCACCACTGCCCTGGGTAGCCCATTCCAGGGCTTGACAACCCTTTCAGGGAAGGATTTTTTGGGGTCTTACCCTCTGCACAGCTCCATCAAAGCTGGTGGAGATGGCAGCTGCTCTTGCCAGCTTGCTGAAATCGGGAGCTCCTCCCACATAAAAGGGCTCCTTCAGGTTCAGGAAGGTGTGAGGCACCTGGGGAGGAAAGGGGAGAAGATGAGATGGAGAAGATGTCAGGCTATCCCTGAGCTGGATAGGTTGAAGCCTGGCACCAACGGAGCTGTGCACCAGGTGCTGGGGGAAAGGGGCCTCCAGAGAACCCCCTCGTGCCAGGCTGTGAGGTCTTGCCTGCCAGCGGGCACACAAGGAGGAGATTTCCTGTGGATTTCATTTTGGGGAGCTGCTGTTCAAACCCTCTCAGGAGTGGAGGTCTCTGGTTTTAGGTAGCCCCCAAAACCGAGTAAAATATTGTTTTGGTCTCACCAGGGCTCATATCTCAACCCAAACACAGGCTGGAGGGACTCAGCTTGGGTCCATCTGCTGCTACAGGTCCCCTACAGCAAATGGAGAGGGGTCTCCTGGCTAGAGGAGGTTCTCCTGCATCTCACGTGGTTGTGGGTTTGGAGGAGAAAGCTGCACAGGGTGGGAGGTCCCAGGTGAGTCTTCAGGGACCACTGGGCACCCAAGAGGAGCGAGGTCCCCTCCTGAGCACCAGGGATGGAGCCAGGGGCACAGCACCGAGGCAAGGATGCAGTTATGTGAATCACTAGCTAATGCTTCGTGGAGTTAACACGAGGAACATGACCAGATTAATTGAAAGGCTTCCAAAACAAAAGGGAACAGCTGGCTGGGAATTAATGAGGGGGAAGGAAATCAATGTGTCTCTAATCTACAGAGGTCCTAAAGCTGCTTGGTCGGAGGGGAAGGGGAGTGGGTGAAACACTGAGATCTGAATGGAGAACGAGAGGAAGAACAACAGGGCTGATGGCAGATGAGATGGAGGTGCAGGGGGTGATACTTATCTTTACCTTACGGGATTTCTGGGATCCAGACAGCAGGGGAGGGAAAAATACAAATGAAAACCAAAGGAGGAGAAAGAGAAAGAGAGAAAAGAGAAAAGGGAGATCAGTGGCTAACGTCGTAACATGCAGGGCTGCAAGACCACGGCTGCAACCGGTGCCCAGGTAGCCAGGGAAGGGGCAGGGGAGCTGCAGAGGGCACAGGAGGGGCCACAGCCACCCCCTGGCAGCCAGGGGCAACCTTCACATGGAGAGAAGCTCCAAGAGATGAGAGTGAGGGGAGGAAGGAATCCCTTCTGTGGCAGGGATGCTGCATGGTCCTCGTGCTGCACTTCTCGGGGGGTGTTAAGGATTAGCTGGGGCTTTTTCTGCATTCTCAGCCTCCCCACGAAAGGCAGGTGAAAGGAAGGCTAGTGGCCCTGCCACGAGAGCCCAGGGAAGGGCTATTTGTGCAGAGACAGAAGCACAGGGGAGACAGTGCTCAGGAAGGGAAACTGCCTGGAAACGGGGGAGAAGCCACTGGGGGAGTC